CACTTCACAACACGACCACTTCAGAAGCACTTAAGGCTAGCAAAAACCAAGTAGAACTGCTTAAAATATATTCCCTATCATGTTGCACTCTCCTCACTGAGATGCTAACAAAAATGTAGCCAGGAGGAGAGAGGTGAGCTAAACAGTCCCACCCTGGGCACATGGGCTACACCTATCATGAAAGCACAAGGTCAGTGAGATACTGCTACAGCCTGCCAGGTCAGGTGGTTCAGTGCAGGGGGTTGAAATACAAAAAGACAAACCCTATGTCGAGTTTCAGCCAACAATGTATGCCAGGGCAGAGCCATCCCTCCACAGGCTTTACGCAACTTGCCTGTATTTGCCAGGCTTCTTCACTCTGAAAAATCAAGGGAGGGTCTCCAGCCCCTTCTCTCCAGCAGATCTCAGGCAGCATCTGATGCTCTCTGCACCTAATACGTGACTGACTGGTCTTCCCAGGACATCCTGAAAGACCTGACAGTCTTGCTGATTTTATGACACAGCCCAATAAACTTTGACAGAAGCCTGAGCTCAGCAGCACAATGTGGGACGTGGCTCCAGCAATCCACAGGAACACCCCACGTGGTTTTGTAGAAGCCCGCTGCTGAAGCGGGGGCTGAGGCTGGCAGCTGTTTCCCCCGACTCCTTGACACACTCTGCCCATCCCGGGCGAGGAAGGGAGAAGAGCACCCTACCATTTCCTGCAGGTGTCCAGCAGGATGAGGTTCAGGGCCGTCTGCTGCTGCTGCATCTTCTGGAGGATCCTCTGCACGCTGATGCAGTTCTCAGGGGCGTAGGGTTGTGGAGCGTCAACAGGGACCATGTAGTTCCTCCCTGAATGTTCGTACCCATGCCCAGCATAGTAGAATATAGCTGGGAACAGCGAGAGGAGAGCATGAGTCACGACGCGAACCTGCAGGTCTCTAACCAGCTCCCGATGGCCATGCCCCACCTCCTGTCCTGAAGGGATACTGCTGCAGGGCAGACCTAGACCAGTGGCACCTATGAAACTGCGGCTACGTTGACCTCAAAATTTTGACTTTTTTCCAGTCCATTCCCTTCAGCAGAGTTGGAAGCAGCCCTGAGAGGCTCTCTTGTACTTGTGGTTTCCAGCACCATTCATCAGGAGACCTCAAAGTCACTGGGTTTACACCTTTCCATAGCCATCTGTGCCACAACACCCAAGCTCGGCATCTGCCAGGCTGAACTCCACCTTTGTACAATGTTTGGGTTAATCATCAGCTCTTTGCAAGAATATGACAACATAGTATTTTACCATCATGAAAAATACATTAACAGCCTTTCAAATGAGAAGCTCCTCAGCTTCCTAGTTTTGAAGTAGCAACTAGTAATGGATTAGGTGATGGGAAACACTCTCCAGATTTCAAAGGTCTGCCTGTACTTACACACCTATAAGCTGATGAAAAATGAGATAAGAGACAGAGAGAGATGAGTCCTCCAGATGTCCAGAACGTGTGGACCACGTGCTTCCACAATCTCAGACCATACACCACCTCTGTAAGGCCGGAGGGGAGTCAAGACTCATGCAGGTGTTGGTGGGAAGGCCAACACTCAACAAGAATTTTCATTTCAAGTTTTACTCTTAACCACGTGAAACTGAGTAATGATTTCTGCCTTTACAAGAGATGGCGACGCAGGGACATCCAGCTTGGAAAGCCAGCACTGAGGAGCTCAGCACAGCCCAAGCTGGTGCTTCTCTCTGACCCCTGTGCTTGGCAAAGAGCTTTTCTTCTGCACAGGGATCCCCATGTGGGCTGTAGCTTCCCGAAAGGAAACTGCACAGTGGCTGGCTACCCCTTTCCAGCACCAATGAAACTGCTTGGGGGATGCTGGCAAAAGCCAGCTTGGGGAACTGAAATGGGTTAAAAATAGCTCTGAGAGGCGACGCTAACAGTTCCACTACCGCAACTGAGGGACAGTGAAGAACAAGAGATCAGAAACGGGAACAATGTCTAAGAGACAAAACTAGGAGAAATTCTTCAGTCAGATTCGCGACCGAAGCCCACACTTCATTTGGTAAACTCTCCTCTATTTTCCCTCCACAGCTCCTGCCCCTGTAGTTCACAGGACATTTGCTTCATCTTTCATGCTGCAAGGGATGCAGTGAACAGGGCAGGAGCTGAAGGACTGAAAGCATGATGTCATTGTATGGAGGATGGAAAGCATGATCTCATAGTAAAAAAAGGCCTCAAGTCACCTTTGGTTTCTATTCTCAGGGGATGATGGAAAGGTACTCAAATGGCTATTTTCACAGGTGCCTACAAGGTTTGGGTTCCTCTTCTTGTGGATCGCCAGCCAGAGAGAGTGGGCTCTGATTTGCAGAAGTTTTAAACTTCCATAACTTGCAAATCAAAGCCACAAAAACCTCTCCTGAGACTATAAAAAACAGGAAGCCTACTGGAAAAATCACACGCAGGTTTTGGCGCCTCAAGTCATCAAGCACTGATGGCTTTTGTCCCTGTGCCTCTCCTCCTGTACATGAAAGGGAGGTGATGACATCCATTACCAGGCAGTGTCACTGACACTTGGAAAAAACTGAAATATTACAAAAAAGCCCACAAAGAATGATTCAGTCATTAAATCTTCTAACTTTTGAGGTCTTCTTGTGCACGCTGAACTTACCACCAAGTGCTCCCCATGCTATATAAACCACAAAGACTCGTGTTCAAATCAAAATTTCATGAGTATCACATCAGCTGAGCAACTTTGTAAACCTCCCCTGGACTTAATCTCTCTTCCTGAACAGGAAAGTCAACAATTTGCCTAGAGAAGGAAAGGGTTTTATTTCAAGCTAACATTTCAATGCTCTTCCCACACTTCATGAGTCAAAACTGCTGATGAGACACAAACTTCTGAGTACCAAATTAAAAAGCAGAAGCTCCAGGCACTGCTTATAATACAGGAAATGTCAGCATGCAGCTTAATTAAGGCATGACGACATATTCCTAGTATTTCATTTGCAACTTTCTGCTCTCATTGCATTTCTGACATTTTTTTGACTTTGGGACTTTTTAGGACGCTTGAAATAACATCGGGGGGATTCCTCATTTGCCTGAGGGCTGTATAATCGGACAACTCAGGGGATGTTTGGGGCCTTCAGAAATCCTCTGCAGCTTTTCGAAGAGGAGATCTGAAGGGAAAAGGAGCTAGATGAGCCACCATCTCTGTACGGTGAATTAGAGGAGCCTTTGGAACACCTCGAACGCACAGCCATACAATAGTCCTGTGCCTGAAACAAAGCCAGTTTTCTGCTCTGGGCTTGAGAAATCTCAGAGAAGGTTCAATAATAGTAAGGACAAAGTCCTGCACTGGGGCAGATAAACCCAGGCAGCATTCTGGCTGGGGCTCAGTACCAGTGGAGCAGCAAGCCTGGAGGTAAGGGCCTGGGGTCACAGCGGACACCACGCTGAAGATGAGCCAGCTTTGACTGGGGACAGAGCTACGCTAGGAGACACAGGACCACCAAGAAAGCTGCCACCACTCTCCTCGTCTCCAAGTAGACCCCACTTAGGTCCTGTGTCCAGTTTTAGGGATCTCAGTTCAGAAGGAAGGTGTAAAGCTGGAAAAAGGCCAGCAGAGGCTACCAAGATGTTGGTGGCCAGAGCCTGGGAGGAGACGGGGAAGGAGTTGCGCTGGGCTGGGCCGGAGACATGGAGGCGGAGGAAGATCTAACAACAGCCTACTCTTCCTGGAGGGGCAGTTACAGAGGCAGCAAAGTCCAACTCTCCTCATCGGCATAGACCATACAACATGGGGCAACAAGCACCAACCCATGGAGGGTCACATTTGACAGGAGGAAAAACTTCCCTGAAGAGTGGTGCAGCCTGGGATGGGCAGGTGGATAAGTAGAGGGCTCCATACCTGGAAGTCTTCAAGACCTGATAAGGAGAGCCACAACCAACCCTGACCTTGTGCTGATGACTCCAAAGTCCCTTCCCACCAACCCCTGTAGGAGTGTAAATCACAGACAGGTCAGTAAGGACACACAAGGGAGGGCCAGCCATCCAGAGAGCCCCGCAATAAGAAAGAGGTCTAGGGAGGTCATACACATCTTCTTCAGCTCTTATCAGCATCCTGAAGCTAAATAAAACTCTAGAAGCAACAACAAGTACCATGCTAAAACACTAACCCACATAGCTGCATTCTCCCTTCTGATCTGCTCCAGCAGAAAGATGTATGAATGCCCCAGCATCTCTGCCGCTGGAGTTAAACTCCAGAAGACAGCCAGCCTCACTTCTCGGGCATGCTGACACATGTGTGTCAGAGACCAGAGTGCCTCACTTCAGCCCAGTGACAGTCTTTCACCAGTCAGCCCTCTCCTCCCAGCTCCCTGCTTCACTCCACATGTCTACGCAAAGCTCTCCTGCCTTCAGCTGTGGTGGTTGCTACAGATGAGATGGCACCTTCAGGTTCCTCGAGTGAGAAAAAACAGGCAGAAGCACCGGGATGCCTCAGGGCAGGTGCATGCCTGACATACGCACATGGACGTAGAGGAGTGGCTATCACAGGGACCCCTGGGGTCTTTGTAGTTTTAACAGGCTGCCTAGGTTGCTCCTGGAGCTGGTGTTTCCCCACTATCTTCCTATGCGCATGAGAATCCTAAACCTCTCAGTCAGTTCTAGATGTTTATCCTGAAGCTAGTGCCTTGAAAAATCGACACATAGGGTTTAGGAGGAGTTGTTAGCTTCTTCTAGATGTGCATTTCTATTAACAAGACAAGTTAATTTCAATGATTTGTACTTCACTTGGTTCTTTTAATTTGATGTAAGGAAAACAGCTGAAGAAATGCTGGAAGACGCATCAAAGCAAGAGGCACCACACTTCAGATGGGAGAAAACCTAGGGCAATCAGCAGGCATACTGACCTAATGCCCCACCATTAAGTCTGGATGCCAACAATTACAGCAAAAGCCCTGAACTCAATCAGGCTGCTGGGACCAGCCTGCACTGGGGTTCACTGCCTCCAAATAATAGCAGACCACTCAGCTTAGAAAGCTGTAAAGAAAACCACCATCCGGAGCAGCCTATGCCTAGCAAACACTTGAGGCTTATCAAGGTTCAGTAACTCAGCTGTTAATGTTTTCCCTGCCAGTGCACAAAATCAATTTTGACAGGAAGGATCAGTGGCCACGAATGCAGAAAAACACTAGAAGTTCAAATAAGCCATCACGGCATGAAAGGTTTGCAATTTCCAAATCTTTTTTCTCTCCAATGCTTATGAAAACAAGGCAAGCACAATGGATAAAATGCCATTTGGTCCTCACGCACCATGGATACAGGGTAGGAACAGCAGCGCTGTAAGAAAAGCATAGCAGCCCCCCAGGGATGACGGTGGCCTGGGAGAGGAGGTAAAGCCTGAGATGCAAGGGGATTTCGGAAAGCAACCACAAAAGGAAGCTGCAAATGAAGTCAGAGGAATACGCTGTCATCAGATTACGTGCTCGGTCGGAGTGGCGACAACTGTGTATTGCCCTTCCCCGCCAGCTCAGTCTCCCCGAGTGAGTCAGTGCTTCCTGGAATGAGGTGGCTTTGCAGCATTGCACTTGCGGCCGTGTCCCTGTCCATTGCACAAGCTCCAGACCTCATGCTGAGTGCTGGGCTGGAATTAGCCCACACTGACTTTTGCTGTTTGAGTGCCCTGACATGCCATTGCAGCTGGGAGGGTGATGAAGATAAGCTTCACGTTGAGGTTTGGAAGCAAAAAAAAACCCAAGAAAACATCTGCAAGGTGTCTTCAGGGTATCTGTTGGGCTGGGAGAACCTCAGAAAACCCAAAGAAGCTACTTTCACCCCAAATCTGAACACCTGCTTTTAAGACCCACAAGATCTGCTGGTTGGTTTCGTGCTTGGGGAATGCTTCCCACCGAGGACAGTGTGCAATAAGCTCAAAGCCACCTGCAGCTGGGAATGTTCTTCTGCAAAAAGGCTGTCAGATGCCCAAGTTAGACCATCAGGAAAGAGAAACAAGGAAATCGTGGCCAGCTGTAGCAGTCATGGCTCAAAAGGAGCTTGCCTTCTCACAAAGGAGAATGGTGGGGGCAATCGACAGTCAATCACCTCAATTTTGTCATCGAAGACAAAATCAAAACCCCTTCTCCCATTTGCCATCAGAAGCACTGGCTCCCCAAAACCTCAGCATGAGACTATGCTGTTCAAGTTGGAGGTGAGCCACGTGATGGAGAAACACCTACTTTGCCTGCCTGTAACCCGGCCAAAACCAAACGACATTTATCTAAGGGCTTCTGACAAGCCTGGCACCGCTGCAGACTGTGCTGCCCCCCTCCGAAGCAAAGTTCAATTTCTTCTCTTTTAATTCAACAGCTGTTCAGAAAATTGCCAAATCCCAGCTCCTCCCTGCCATCAACCGCTGCTACCCACACTTTGGCTGGGCTGGCTTTGCCTTACCGTAGACTCCCTTCCCCAGGAGCTGCAGGAACCGGCTGACAGCTGTCACCATCTCAGCCTTGTTCAGATCCAGAAGGGAGACAACCTGAAAGCCCAGCTGCTCCAGAAGAAGACTCAGCTCAAACACATCCGTGACAGGAGCCATGAGGTTAGGATGATGCTGGTAGTGGTTGTTGCCCACTAAAAGCGCTATCTTGCCTGTAGCTAGAAGAAACACCAAGTGACAAAGCTGTAAACGCTCAGCAGGAGGCAAGGTCTCACCACCTTCTGTTAGAGTGAGGATACGGGAAATCTTTTCTTACATCTAGGCAGGAAGGATAGACCCTATGCTGCTACAAGCCTGTAGCGCTCTCCAGAAAGCCCTTGGCTTTCTGAATACTTTGATAAAATACACAAACCATCGTTTTGAAAGAAAGACTTGAAAAGTTTTCACTTGACAACTGAAATCCCAGGAGGGCAGAAGGATCTGCACTACGAGACTGCAGGTCTTGTGTGCCAGCAGTGCCCGGGAGGCGAATGCACTGAGCCAAGCTAAGAGGTCCTTTCCCCCACAGGGCTGAAGGAGAGAAACCCCGGGCTCCTGCTTTCAATTTATCCCCACCTTCCACTGACGGAAATCCAGATTTATGGCACTCAGCAGTGGTGGGAGCAAGGAGCTTTGCCCTGTCTTTCAAGGAAGAAAAAAGGTGTCATGTGAACAATACTTTTAAACTCATTTGGCAGGCACAGAGGACAAGACTGGGTTACTCATTAGGAATAATCTTACTCCACTTGCTGAGACTGGTCAGGGCTTGGCAGGGGATGGGACTCATCCCATGTCTTGCAGCTCTGATGCCAAAAGTGCAGAGCCCGTGGCAATGTGGGCATAAAGGCTTGAAGTGGTCTCTGCAGAAAAAGCACTCCTATGCCCTGTCCTCTCATCCGCCCTGGAGCCTGGCTTTTAAGTAAGGGAGTAACTGCTCAGGAAGAAAAGATGAGGGTACTCACCAAAAAACTTTTCAGAGCGACACATACCTGGAAAAGAAAGAGGGAAATCATAAGCCTGTGCCCAGCACCCAGCATCCACACGAGCAACATTCCTTAGGCAAGTTCTTCACAGCCTGACTGCTAACCTTAAAGACACTGGTCTGGTGATTTTAGGAGGATTTATGAAGTCCTGCCCAATTTATGAAATCCTGAGTAGCTGGGAAGCAAAGCTTGGAGGAGGGGCAGGCCAGGGAAAGGAGGGCCAGCATGGAGGAGCTCGTACCCTTCAGCAGGTCTATGCTACTTGTACCAGCCCTGCCTGGGCTGCTGTGCTTCTCGAGATCACTTGCCCGCTCCCTCGCTACAGCGAAAGCAAAGGAAACATGACTTGAGGTAAACATAAGCTTCAAAACAGAGAGCTTCTCCCCATGAGCAGTCAGCACAGAGGAATACGACTGTTTGCTTTCAATTGTGGTGATACTCCCAGAGCCTTTCACCACCCTGCTTTGCTTTTCCCTGCCTTTTAGCAGTGGCAGCTCAGAAAAGCCATCTCAAATGTGACTCACTTTCACGAGCTCCACAAGCTCCCCTGCCCAATCACTCCCAGCCTCTTAAGACCATCATTACCCCAACAGCTCCAGCTTTTCCTATTTATATTAAAAATAATTTTTAAAATCCAGCCCAGGAGAAAATCCTAAAACTCTACAGGCTTTAAAAGAAGAAATTAAGGGCATATTTTTAATGGCATAAATCTCATGGGTCTGGAAGACCTTTAGCACCTGAACCAGTGTTGATAATGCACCAGCGATGCCTGGAAAGCCGTGAGAACAAGCCCGGTCACCCTCTTCTGCCTCTGACAGAGCCTCCTGTTGCATGTTAAAGTTACCCAGCTGTAACATTTTGAACCCGACCCAATCTGGTGCCCCTTTCTTGCTGCCTGTTCCCCCTGGATGCTGTTTTGCCAGCTTCGAGGAGTCAGGGAGAGTGCTCTCTGGCTATACAGGACCAATTTGCACTCTGGAGCAATTTTAAAGCCAGTCTAAAAGGTGAGATGAGAAGCTTATGGCATAGGAAAATCTCTAGATGGAGTAAAGAGCCAGCAAAGCTAGCCTGCGCTATTCCTGTCTCACAGCAGGGCAAAGGCAGAGGGCCAAAGCAGCCGTCACACCGAAGGTGGAGCAAGCCCGAGGCTCTGGGGACCCATTTTCTCCCTAGGATCCATCAGCTCACACAGCATCAGGCCTGGGCTGCCAGCCTGAAGGGCCTGAACCTTCCCAAAATAAACACCATCCTCTCCAGCTCTATGCACCTGAGTGCATCACTTCGTCTCAACACAGCTATAAATGAGTTTTAGCATAGAGGCCCGCTGCGATTTGGCCGAGGAGCCATTAAACCAGCACCTGGGCAAGGCAAGAAAACGGCAGCGAGCGTCTGGCAGTGCTCAACCTGCCCTAATGTGGCAGGTTTCTGACAGACTGCAGGACCCAGCAGCATTCCACGCCCCAGTACGCTGGATCACTGGGTTTTGGGATTTTTCTTTTATGGACGCTGCTTCCCTTGCCACCTCTGAACCCTGTTATCAAGGAATCCTGTTTATCACGGTCTCCTGGACGCCTGCACCCGCCGCTCAGCAGGGCTTGTGCAGCTCTGCTGAGATCATCGTATCCAGTATAGCCAGGGTATGACATTGTGCTCTGCAGGCTGTTCCTGTGACAGCCACTGCAGGACTGACAGGACATTCCAGCTTCCCTGCAGAGCCCCATGCTGCTGCTGCTCTACTCCAAAGTGTCTTACCTTTGGCGCCCTGTAGAAGCAGCATTTAAAACTGGTGGCCTTTCTTTTTGTGTTAATAAAAGCATGCAAGATCCGTCCAAGCCAGGGGAAAGTGCAAGTGTCAGAGCCATGCATCCTACTCCTAATCCCACACCCTGGAGCCCAGCCTCCCCTGCACCGATTGAGCCACGGGGTAACACGCAGCACTAGGCTCCTTGTTCACCAGCTCCAGGCGAGAGCACTAAATTCCTTTCTGCCCTTTAATTACTTTTCACACTAGAAGGTGATTTGCAGCAAAGCAGACGTGGGTTGGCTCTGCTCACCTATGTGAACATCCACAGCGTTGGTCCAGTGCTCTCCTTGGCTATTGGAGGCACAGCAGAGGTATGTGCCAGAGTCACTGATCTTTGCATGGGTGATCTAGACAGATCAAAAGTTAAATCACATTATTTATGCTGAAAGTTTGCGGCCCCTGCCGGTATCTGCCAAAGGCACCCGTGTTCCTGCAATAAGGTCTTTTTTCTTGGTTTTTGCCGAGATGTCACTCCTTGCCTCACAAAGCTAAGGTCTCCCATGACTTGTCTTTCTAAGGAGCTGAGTAAGGCCACGTGCTAAGGTCTGCTGCTGACCCCAGCTTCTAGAGCGCAAGAATCCTCTGCCCAAATGTCTTCCCTTTTTTCTCCAGCAGCCCCAAAACCCTGTGTTGTAGCCATACTCTGCCCCAGGAACCACACTGAGGACAGTGCACAGCCAACATCAGAAGGTTTTTCCTCTTAGGTGACATTTTCTAGATTTCTGCCCATTGCTCTCTTCTAGCAAGTTTTCAACTCTTGTCCATCTCTCTTGACATAGGACAAGAGTCAGAGGAGTACTGGCTGGCAAGGACCACTGTGGTTCTCCAGATCAGGCTCCTGCTCAGAGAGGAACTAAAGCTACCACTGGGTCAGGTTGGCCACAGCTTTGTCTAGTTGAATACTGAAAACCTCCAAGGACAGAGATCTTGCTGCCTTTCTGGCTCCAGTGCAGCACAACCCACCTCCAAATGAAGAACCTCTTCCTAATCCTCACCCTGAACTTCCCTGTGAAAAGTGCAATTTGAGGCCACTGTCCTCCACAATATCATCTGCCACTACTGAGACTGGATCTCTTGTCTTTGCTACCCTTCACCTGATGCCCCAGAAGGAAATCTGCCTTTCTTGCTTCAAGAAGGCAGCACTGATTTACACTGAGCCAGTGACCCAAAATAAACCCAGACCTTTTGCTGTCTCCCTGACTCTCTTCTGTCAGGACCACTTTTCCTTCTAGCTCTCCTGCAGGCAGACAGCACTGCCGCAGCTCCACCACTCCGCAGTCCCCTGCACAGATATACACTAGCTGTTCTTGTGCCACTGCTGCAAAAGGCGCGAGAGAGGTGCTGAGAACCCTTGACGCACCTATGAATCGGTTACTTCTTAGAGAGACATCCACAGCTTTGAAAGAAGCCCATAAAACACATTCCCTCTTCAGAGTCCTTCAGTCAGCTATCAAAGCAACAGGGGAGATAAGTGGAGTGCTTTCTCACAACCCTGCAATGCAGCAGGGAAAGATAGCTGAGTGCGAGGCTGCTTCTGCACGGCTGGAGGGATGGGGAGGACAGGCAAGGAGAGATTGCTTTCTGCTGGCGTTCACCTGATCCCACAGATCAAAGCACACCCAAGCCTTAACAGGCAAATGCAAGCTAGGCTTAAGGACTGCCACTTGGCATGTCCAGGAGGACAGTAACACCATTTTCAGCAGTCTCTCCAAGGCTTCTGAGGCTCTCCCACACCCACCATCCAGCAACAAGCTTCACCCATCACCCACCTCAGCAGCCAAACTTTCTCAACTATCCCAAGGCAACATTACCGAGAGCTTTTTTTTCTTCTGGTGTTCCAGCAGGTTCCCATTCCGGTACCACTGGTAGCTGGGGGCTGGGATGCCCATGGCAGCACACTGCAGCTGTAGCGGCTTCCCCACCTCCACCCTCTGCTCGGTAGGGCTGAGGACAATGACTGGTTCTCCTCGCCAGAGCTGAGGGGGCAGCCCTGCAAAGCAGCAACACAGAATTGGTCCTCCCTCCACAAGGACAGAAAATAACAGTCATTTTTTTCCCCCTTTATAAGGTCCTATGTGTATTGCCAGAAAAGCAAGCTTTTTCCATCTGCACCAAGAGGTGCTGTCCCACAGGATGGCTGCAGTTGCAGCGTCACCACTGCACCTTTCTGCTTTGGGAGGAGGGAATCCTTGAGAGTGACACCTGCAATAGTAAATGACACACCAAAGCCCTGCCTCCAGCTTCCCAAACCTGGCACTCGCCCTTTCCTGCTAAGGGTGCAGTCAACCTGCTGAGGTCAACCACACCCGGAGTTATCTTTGCTCAGGTTTGAAATAACCAGATTGCCTCTTCCAGTCCCTCTGCCCAACACAAACAGGCAAACACCCAGTATAACTCTGGGAAACCCATGGTGAGTGATCAGCAGGAGGAGCACATACATACAGCTAGGGTTATTTGGAACACGGCAGGTGCCTGAACCATCCAGAAGATGGATACAGAGGTCTGGCTTAGACCTGCACACTCATGTCGCTGGAGCAATCCTTCTGTACTGTGATTTTCGAGCTGGTGGACACTGCACTGGATCACTGCTGCAAGGGTGGGCAAAGCATAAACTACAGAAAAGCTAGCTTGTAGACACACTTGTACCTCTGGCGACACACTGATGGACCTCCACCTTCACCCAGTCAGAGAAGACAACATTTCTGTAGAGGTCATTGATTCTGCAGGTGTAGAGTTGGGTCTGCTGTGCAGTGACAGGCAAGTCTTGCTTGATGGCACCAGGAATCTGGTGGCAGACAGACTAAAGGGAAAACACAGATGATGAGCAGCAAGTTCCCCCCTCATCATGGTAGCAAAGGGCACCAGCAGGCCCCTTGTAAGAGCAGGAAAAGTGGAAATCCATGGTTTCCTCCCCTTGTCCAGCCACAGGGATCAAGAGAAGGAGCTTTTCTGTTGCATACGCGCCCCTCACCCCAGCATCTGTAGAAGCCCTCGGCATGCACACGCATCCTATCCTCCTCTCCTTCTAGCCTCCTGGTTCCCACCAGGTCTGTCCGCAGAGGGTCAGCTCCATCACTGCGGGCAGGGACCCAGCCTGGTGCCATACCCAGGGCCACCTCTGCTCCCACCGTTACCTGGTGCTGACAAAACCACTGGTACTGCAGCGACGTGCGTCCTTCGGCTCTGCACCGCAGCGTGAAGGAGTATCCCACGGGGACCGAGACAGAAACCGGCTGCTCGGTGATCGCAATGGCTGTGGAGAAACAGGACACAGAGGTGGAAAAAACCCAGCAGGCGCAACTCGGGTTCGTTCCCACTCGCTGCCCAGGAACGCTGGGCTGCAAGAGGGGGCCTCTGGCACCCATCCCGGGAGGAAGGGGGATTTAGAAAAACAGGGATGCTCGGCCTCCCGTGCCCGGGGGATGCCATGGGGACTTTCTGGGTGGTCTCCTGGGGCCCAAACGCACGGCAAGAGGGGGTCTCCCAGGCCGAG